AGTTGAGATAGGCACTCAGTCGAGTCCGTACAGTTCGCGTAGGGTAGAAGAGGAAGGTAGGTAAATCCGCTGGAGTAGTTTGGTATGCTCTATGTGCCGACCATAGACAAGAAGGAGTAGGCCCGTACGAGGCCCTGTGCACGCAGGGCTGGTTCCTATAGCCTGGATGTCATCGCCTCCGCCCTGGGCGTTAGGATGACTAAATACCAATCCCGTCTTTTTTCATTCTACACGCAATGGAGAAGTCTAAATGACTGCATTTCATCGTTATATGTGCCTAGTTATAAATACCCTGTGTATGCACGTATCCGTCTGCGGTATTTCTGAATGAAAATTTTAAAAGGAAAACTACATAATTATAAAGAGTTCGTCTAATCACTATTCACCCATTTTTTTGTTCTAAGCCCTTTCTCGCCGATGCTTACGCATCCAGTTACATGTTTTCGAAACACTTCTAAACTAATATAGACGGTGGGTGGATATGTATTGATCTAGTTAGTTTTGCTCCCATACAGAGAAAAGACTGATGCGCTTGCCGTGGTTAATGTATTGGTTTTTGTAAACATCATGAGGGCAGCGATTCATCTTGATCCTACAAAAGGACTAAGTCGGCCAACCTGTGCATTACAACGCGTGGAATATTTTACGCGTAAACTGTTTAGCCGCCAGTAAGGTTACAACGGACGCCTACGGTAGACATTAAACCTCAGCAATAGCCTTTAGATGACAACCGCGACAGGCTGAGAAGGATATATGCCGTAAAGACATAAGTGGTTGGTTCTCCTACAACAGGCCACACATGAGTTGCGTTTGATCCACAGGGGAACCAACTCAGTGTACGACAGACGATATTGAAGGAGGGCACGCACAACAAATGCCAAAAATGAGGGTGTGGCTCCACGCCTAGGCGCAGATTCACGCCGCGTCAGTCGCTTGCTCACGATACCGCCACCGGGATTTTCGAAACCCGAGAACGAGGAGCGAGATGGATGCTGTGTAAGCCTACTATCAATTAACTACTTTGTGCACAAGGCATTGCCCCTGCGCCCTCTTTGCCGTAGG